TTTTTTTTTTTTTTTTTTTTTTTTGCGTAACAATAAAAATATTTAAAAGAACTTAAAAAAAGCATTCTGAAAATTAAAAATTTCAGACATTCATTTTTCCCTCAGACTACTAATACGGAGAGAGAGACCACCAGCTCAGCTTAAAATAGCATATTCTGAAAAGTCATTCTTCATTGGATGCAGGTATACCTATGGGGTTGGGCTCATGCTATTGAGCTGAAGCTGCTGGACGGATGGGCAGACAGACACGACCAGATCAGCTGCACAAGTGAGGACAGCTGTATGACCGGTATTTTTTTTTTTTTTTTTTTTAAATACTATAAAAAGCAAGACCTCACCTGGTATGGAGGGGGACGAACATGAATGTGGCTGCTACAGGGTTCCCCTTAATACTACAAATTATTAAATTCTATAATGATAATAAAAAGGCCTGAAAGACCGTCCTGTCCAGATTCGACAGGTAATTGAATTGGATGAGCTCAAACGAATTAGCCTTTAAATTCTTTAATTAAAAAAAAAAAAGTGTACTAAATAGTTATCTCATTTTCATGTTTTCTTCTTTCCACACTTCCCCCCTCTCCCCCATCCAATCCCCAAGTACAAAATGTAGTATATACAAAAAAAAAAAATCCCGTGTACCTTTTCTCAACGTCTAGGTGAAAATTCAAAATAGTAAAATACACACACCATTTTATGATTTGACGTATTCGATGAGTAGTGTGCAGTGAGCGCCACTTGCTTTGTCTGTCATTTTCCTAGATGGGTAATAATTTAATAAATCAGTAATGTCCATTTGCTAGCTCTATTTTTATTTCTTTGCTAGTTTTTTCAACTTCACTACATGAAAATTGAATTCCCTTTCGCTGTTTCGTGCTATTTAGTATTTATACATATGATTGTTTCTGGCCGCACCTATGCCCTGCAGCCTAGCAGAAGATATACAACCAACGTGCACTGATGGGTGCCCAGGGAGTGCGAGAGAGAGATAGCAAGTGTGTGTGTGTGTGTGTGTGTGTGTGTGTGTGT